TGCAAAATTTTAATTTAATCTTACGCTTTAAAGTCGCTCAAAATTCCATGTAAGAATAACATTTTTTATACTTAATAATTATGACTCGCAAATCGGAAAGAGCACATCAAATTCTATTAATTACGATGTGCTCTTTCCGAATTTCGACTTTGCCACTCGCATCGCCATATTGGAAAAATAGCGCCTGTTTTTTTGATAATATCTCTTATGCGACCTATTTCACGATAAAAACATTTATATACAAATTGACACTAAAGGAAATTTCCTAAAATTTATGGCATAAAACCCATTTTTTCATAAAATCAATAGTGTTTGCGTACGAGCGCCGCAAATTATAGTTCAACACACGTTTTGCCAAAAGTCCTCATTTCCATACCACTTTGAGGTGGAGTTAGAGAATATGTATGTTTGAACGCGTAGATAGAGCCGTAAAAAGAAAAAGATCTATATCTTCATCGACAACTATTACAAAATCAAATACCGATGAAATGTTTAATACGGTATTGATTATTAACGTATACGCATTTTCTGTGCTCCAAATTTTGCTTTTAACATTCCGATGAAGCAGTTATTGTTTAAGTTTTTGCCCAAAAATTTATTTTGCGACACTGGGGATCATTTTCTCATCAAAAGGTATGTCTACCGAAGCCGTTTTTCGTGATCGTCGGGATCGTTTTGATACTACGGTTTGCTACATCTCGATATCCTTCAAATACCATAATGGCATTGGATCTATAGTTCGACTACACCACAAGGACTTCATTTATATTTTTTACTTTGGTGGGTTGACTCTTATTGAAAATGTGTAATTAAAAAAACTCTATTGGACAACAATTTTACTTATTCTTGTAACTTAGATATTACAAAATTCTTTTCCATTACAATCCATCACCTTAACAAAATTTTTAATAACACCTAATTTAATATGTAATAGTGGAAGAAGTACTTCAGACGCTTCTACAAGGAGTAAATATTTCATATTTTTTTGTCTAGGGTTAAAGATACTCACTTAGGCCATACTTTTTAAATGATTGTGGTTTTTGTGCCGACTATCCCATTCACATAGATATATAGCAGCAAAACTTGGTATAGCCCAGCTGAAGTCCAGGTAATAGGGCAACAACTTTCAAATTCCCACAGATTTTCAAAAGAATATGTACTATATTTGATTTTTTCAAGTAAGAACCTCATGTTTTCATAATTTTTTTTTAATTAGTAGCATGGGCCAGAGATACAGAAGGAAATACATTTTTGTTATGAAGTTAAACGGTTTTTAAACTAGTTTTAGAAGAATCAATGAACAAGCGCCATTGAGAGGAATCAAATTCGATTTCCAAATTCTGCATAACCTCATTTATAATATTACAATACACCAAGTTTCCGTCTTAAGATAGTATGATCTGAAGAGTATGTCACAATTTCGACAATGGCTTAATTTAGTTTCTTGATGTAGCAAATTCCATTATTTTAATCGAGATCGTTTAGGTCTTCTTGAGTTATGAAATGTGGCTTGATTGAAATTTTTTCAAACTAACAGTCATCGTCGTCATCAACGCTCCGCGACTGGCTCGAAATGGAAATTTGTTGTAAATCTTGAATCTCAGCGGCCGCAGGTATAACTGGTATAGGCAAATTGTCACAATGAAGTACTAGTGTTTTAGTTGACTGTGAATTAGGGTAACTGACCATCTGCTTTTTCTTGCAATTAATACTTTTTATATCTTTAAGACAGAAATAGTAATGCGAAACGTGATCTCTTGGTGCGGTCGCAATTATGGATACTGCAAACGGCACATGGTGCAATCTTTCTTGTAATCAATTAAATTCTTAACACAAGTTATGAAACAAATATGAGGGGCCTAAGATTTGTCTTGATGAGCCACATAGAAACCAAAAAACTGGCGATAACTCTCCAACATAAGTGTTTCGTCTTTGTTTTTTGAAAGTTAATTCATCAGAAAGATAACAAAATGAATCAAAATCGTTATTACACTTTCTCGGCATATTTACACAATCTCAGTAATTATTTATAAATTAAATTAATACAATAAATTTATATAAATACAAAGACAATTAATTTTATGGCTGTTTGTACGCGACCGTTTGCTTGCGTTTTTTTGTCGTAGTATAGATTATGCTTATCAACACATCACAAAAAATCTGAGGCCAATCAAACAAAACTAATGCAATTTATTAATGAGAGTAGGTGGCTAAAACAGTACATATTAGCTATCAGAGTACGTGTGGTATGACTAGTGTTGATCAGTATTATAGATTAATCGAAACAATGTCGTCTTCTATTTCAATGCCTACATTCGTAACTCTAAGTGATTTTATTCGGTCATTCTGTTTGAATTTTACTGCATAGATGCTGCCAATGATTTTAAAAAATGCCAGTATTACCATTTCCTTGAGATATGTGACAATTTATATTTCTATATCCGATAATTCCGGTACTGACATGATATCTTTTAATTTTGAAAAAGGTATAATTGTGCAATTAACCATTGCATCAATTTTTTTTCGTCATCGTTGTCACGATTAACCCGTTAACTTTTTATTTCGATATGGTGCTCGGAACTGGTAAAAAATACATTGCAAAGCTTTTTAAATTCGTCGCAAACATTGTGCAGGAACATTATTTCTAAAGTGACAATAAATTTATTGTCAGCGTTTCTTCGTACCTGTCTGTTTGTTTATTAACCTCTCAAGGAAATTTTTCTTAGACATAGTTAGATATATTAAGTTGAGATTAATATTAAATACTAAGATTTACTGTCCTTGGAAGATATAAAAAAAAAATTAAGCATCGAAATCAAAGTAATCAAAAAATTTTTCATAAAGTGTTTCATTTTTGTTATTAACGAACTAACTCATTAAAACCTATAGGATACTTTCCGTTCATTTATATTCATCAACTTTCGCAAAAGTCACGTTTTTCAACGTCAGTATAAAGAAAAATCCAAAAGTCATTAATTTGTATCTTTTAAGAAAATATTTTTGTTTGATAGGATAAATAGTTTTGTGTGATATCAGCAGTTTGAGTATCAACTGTAATGTAGATGTACAAACGGGAATTTATAACTTATTGATGTGATAAATGAAGACTCAAAAACATTCAGATTATTGAATAGTTTATAAAAAAAAAATATATTAGCTTGTTACCATGTAAAACTGCATAATTGACTCTAATATTTATTGATAAAGTATTTAAATTTCTTTTGTAATAGTTGTTTTTTGTATTTATCTACAATATTTACTTTAACTTTGTTCTTATAAACACACCACTCCTTAGTGTATTAGACTCCAAGGAAATTTTTTTGGTACTGCCATGTTTTACCTGTTTTTTTTTTAAATATTTTTTTAGTGTGGTAATTATTACACGAGAACGACTTCGTTGTTTCATTGGGTTTTCGTTTAGTTTGTTTCTTGCGGAATTAATTACAAAGTTGTATAAATACATTTTTAGTACTAACAATTTGTGAACCTTGTTTTTCGTATTGACATTATTGTACGGTTATTCAATAGTGTTTGTTTGAGTTTCTAAACATGTCAGACTACGATGACCGTTCGGATGGCAGTTCATCGCTTTATGTAAAACTGACAATAGTGTTTCATTAATGACTGATCAGGATAATTGTGACCGATGTGTTGATAAATACTGATTTAGTAGTCGCGTGTTTAGCGTTGCAAAATGTCAAATTCCACAGCTCAAGTGCTGATGAAGAAGGGCAAACGAGGTGCCGCAGCGTATATCCACGCGGATTGCTCCTCTGGCTCGCCACAGCACCTAGGCCCATTGCTAGACGTATTGCTGAATCCCAATAAAGCTATAGTAGAATGGGAAACTCTCGACTGGTGTCGATGGCTTATTGCTGGAGGGCGCACCCCGGACGAATTTGCTACTGTCGGTAAGTTAATACTACTTGAATTAATAACTGTTAATCATCTTTATGCTATTTGAAAATCCAACTGAAATCTTAATATTTTAATTTAAAATTTGTTCACTCAAAGTGTTCAAATATCAGTTAGTGATAATTTACACTTTAGATAAAGCAACAATTTAATTAATCATTCTATTCATCTCATAATGAAGATTTGCACAAAAGAAAATTGCTCTTGAAAACCTGTAGTTTAAAATGGGTTTAATTTTATTTTTTCAAAGTTTTTAATTTTTATTTTATATTTTTTAAATTATGCTATTGAAAGTGTGTTTTTGAAATGTTCTTAAATTTCTTTAAGTAAAAACTTTGTAAATACTAGATGAAATTGGTATTTTATGGCAAAAAATTCTTTAGTATGTCTACTTTTATGGGAAAGGGATAGTTATTGATAAATAATTCTATTTAAAATTTTACATAATTGAATATAAAATAATAAAGCTGATTGAGTAAAAATAAGTTGTAAAATGAGTACTAATGATTATATCATATCTGTTAATAAGGAAGCAAATGATCTCCAACAAAATGTTTCTGGGGTCTTCTTTGTAGAAAGATTCTGGGAATGGTGCACTTAAGCCCTGTGAATATAAAATGTTTCGATATTAATCCCACCTTACTAGTTGCCATTTATTTTGGTTTTTCTATTACATATTATTATGCAGTATTATTGATATACATGTAAATAGTCAGTGATTTTATGTGATATATTTTGGTGTTTTAATGAAACATTTAATGTAACATTATAAACCTTTTACACAAAATCAACCATGTGTATTAGATATAATATCGTGTGGCAATTTCAATAAGTATTTTTGACATTTTTTTATGTAACCAGGTTTTACAAATCTAACTTTCTCTTCAATCTTGCATTAAATTTGACTTTACAAAAGGCTACATAACTACACTAATTAAATGGAATAAAATTCCTTGTCATAAGTCACACTCCAAATATTATGGAATGAGAGATAAGCTGAAAAAAGTGTCCAAAATGACACCTTTGCTATTGTTAGCATTTCAAAAATTCTTTGTAGTTGTGTCATTTATGCCTTCAATCACCAACAACCATACCGCATTGAATACACCAAATGTCATCTGTTCATTGAAGTTAAGCAGTGTCGAGTGCGGTTAGTACCTATATTGGAGACCACCTGGGAATACTGCATTATGTTGACTTTTGCTGTTGCATTAATTTTTTTGTTGTTTTTTAATGAACAGGTGATTTATTTAATTGTATCTGTTATTTAATACATAATATACAACAAAATAAACTTAATTCTGACAAATTGTTCTGCGGCACCTTTTCTTTGTTTTTATAGCATTTGTTTAATCATTCTGCTGTTATTGTCCTACTTCTTTACAGTATGGTATTCTTTTTCTTTTAATAGAACAATATCACATAACTATACAGTTTAAAAAATTGTATATTTGTTCTCATAGGTATGTTTTGAAAATTATACTTCTTTATTATAATCATAAAATTTTGGTGAAAATGCATTATCTGTATACTATTTGCAAATATAATATATTTAGAAGTTTAATAAAAATGTGGATAATTTAGTAAAACTGTCTAGTGTCTAGATAATTAATTTATATAGGTATGCCAGTGCCCACTACATTATCTCATCATAATAATTTTATTTGTCTTAAATTATGAGTCCCATTGTGAAATGTAGTTATAAAATAACAACTGCACATAAGAAATTTTCCTTCTCATATGTGTACCTGATAGCGTTAGAATTACTTAATAGGGCAAAAAATTGTTAATGTTTGTTCATATGGCATGGGCCTATTGAAAACTAGTCATTTTTATTGTTCTGTATCTTTGATAGCCTTTTAAGTTTTTGTATGACAGTTAAGCATGCATATATTAAAACTTTACTCTCCATCTATTATCTCTAGAACATCGAGAGAAATTTGACTTCGAAAGTTCACTAAACGAATGACTATTATGTGTGCCTTAAAGTTTGCGTGGTGAATAGTATATTGTGGAACAAATTGCAAGTGGTTCAGTTACACTCTATTCAATGTGACATATCAATTATTTATGACTACTATTACACAAACATATAACTTTGAAACAGTTAATTTGGTTCTATATTTTGAATGTCTAAAAAAAAGATAAATAATAATGAATATTTAAAGTTTAATACAATAATGTCTTCTGGTTACTAATTTCTTAACTTTATTTATTTTGGAAGTAATGTGAAATGTTGATCGAAATGTATAATGCAAAACTTCAAGAAGATATAGTGACATTTATAAATTTAAATTATAAATTTTAACATTTTTATAGAGGTCAAGTGGTGTGTCCTCTATTTTTCATTAACGCAGATGTAATTTGTGCCTACACTTACATTACATTTATGGTTATGTGAATTCCAAATTTTTATCATTCTAGTATACCATAATGTACAAATTTATGAGTGATTGTGATTCCTACATGGATTAAGTAAATACCTATCTATCTTGTCATCAAATTAATGCAGTATATCCATATCCTGCACGAGTGCTACAAAATTTTTAATCTGTACTATTGTTGAATTGAGTTATCCATCTATTCAATTTTTATGTGAAAACCAAAAAAAGGTTTCAATCAAATTTAAATTGACGCATTAAGTAGCTATTTTGAGTAAACTCGTGGTTCCCAAGAGATTGATAAAATATTTTTAGGTTTAGACTAGGAATATTATTTTGAAAATATTTGACACGTACAGTTAAAGTGAATGTAAAAAATAATATAGGATGATATGTCATTAAACTTCTGTGTCAATGTGAAAATAGATAGGTTAATGATTATCTAAGAGACTATTGGACAAATAGTGATAATGGACAGATATTGACACCTATAATCATGAACGACTCTATGTGCTTACCAGCGCTGAGCATTTCTTTGTCAATGTTATTTTCTATGGTAGAAATTTTAAAATAGAAGTGCATAGCATAAGTGAGTGCACAGTCTCTTTAATGAATATTCAATAAAATTGTTGTAATGGCATTTTTTTGAAACGAGATTGAAATGGGCTCCCGATGTAAACGTCAGTACTGGTTCTGGTATGCAATCAGAATCAAAAATTGAATCAAGATGAATAAGTGGAGATCAGTAGAGGAACAGGATCAGATTTGGATTCAGAATTAAGTTATTATATGAATAAATAAAATGCATTATAAAGGGGCGTCCATTAAATATGAGATTTTTTTTTATTTAGTCTTCCCATCTTGATAAAATTTGGTAAAATGTAGATGGTTTTCCTCTCTCGTGTGAGATTTATTCCATATTTTTTAACCAATCAATTTGTTCAATGTATACATTACCGGACATTCATTCCTTTCATTAATTATAAATAATAGTACAATCTTATAATACTATGTTCTTTAAATCTCAAAGTAAGTATGAGATTTTTCATTAACTCCTTCCTTAAATGTAGTTTGGGGAGATTTTGCAAGACCTTCCCATTTTGAGGTCAAATCATTTATGGATTACTTATTATAGATAGAGAGATGTAGCTTATTCTTGTCCTTATAACCACTCAAAAATGAAATGTTAGAAAAATGATAAATTTGTTTCAAGTTAAACTATGTAATTACTATGTTCTCGATTTAAAAAAATTCATAAATATTCTTGTTATACTTACAAATATATACATTCATAATGTTAAGAGTTGTCACAGGTCTTTATACCAAAAAAGCAATAGTAATTACTTTAAGCATTTCATTGAATCTTTTGCAATATCAAAACTTTGAATGTAAAAATCTTAGTTTGATTTCGTTAATGGAATGTCAACCAGAGTCAGCCAGTGAGCAAGGCAGGCAGATGTTATCTATTATGGAGTATACTAAAACATTTTTCAATACTGAACCTGTTTGATACAAAACCAAAAAAAAAACTGCATTTTAGAGTAGCTATATAAAAAAATGACAAATGCGAGATGAACTCCACAAAGATGGTTTCATATGACGAATGTGTTCTCTACCATATTGTTTTTTAATCTTATTCAAATTTGTTTTGTGTTTGCTAAAACAACTGCGTAAGCAAGTTTGTACCCAAAATATTGGGAGATTTATTTCGTTAATTTTAAGATTGAATTATTATTAAATAAATAGTCATAATACCCACTTAATTATTTACTTTTTTTTAAGTCAATGTCGGCCAAAACAAGTTTAACAAAACCTAACATATTTGCTGTATAACTTCTTAATCTTGTTATGTAATATATTCATTATATCTACCTACATAAATATCAAATGCAAACTTTTGTATTTCAAAATCAAATGAAGAAGACAGTGCATGTAGCAGGAGGGTGCAAAAACAAACTTGAGTTGGCTGCCACTCACTCAAAAAAAATTGCTTTTGTATTGTGAATATTTATTTAGTCATAATTTGCCTTGTTTTTATTTTAAGGTGTATACATTTATGTGTATGTAGCCTATATTTTGAGTAAAGATACACTCATTTTGTGTGCAAAGTTTCATGTTTCTGTATGAAAGTAAAATTAGAATAACAATGTTTCACTTTTATTGTGTTAGTAGAGATGTCTCATATAATTTGAATACAATTTTAAACAAATGTTGCTTAACAATTATCATTCTTGAGTGTTACAATTATAGAAACTTTAATTATTACTTACATTTTCATTGATATATTAATATAAAATTCTACAGGAAAGTTGGTGCCATTTTCATGAAGGCACATGTTATCATTGACTGTCCGTTACTGTCATTTGTTGTGTTATCTCATGAGTGTTTAAACTGTTTTTTATCTAAAAGAATCGAGGAAATGGCTCACTTGAGCCAATCCGAAAACTCTTTTTCAAACTCAAAATAATTCTTGTTTAGTTTTTGTTTCTGGAATAAATTACCCAATTAAAGTGCTTCTTGTTGCGATTTTTGCAGTTTTTACATTCTAGAATTGGTAAAATTTTGGAATGGATCTGTCTAGTAATTTAAGAGTAGCATTAAAAAAGCTGGCAAAGATCATGTCAGACCATGCTCAATGTAGGGTTCTGAAGCCGTTATTATAAAGAAATGCACTATAGATGAAAAAACTATGTTGCTAAAACTACTTTTTTCCATATGTCCAGCGCATAATAAGTTTATGTGCTACACTTTAGTCACCTACAACCAGAGAAACAAGTAGGTATGTGGACTGTTAGTCTTAAACTAGTATAAACTAAAGTGTACCAGTAAAAGAGTGTATTTTCATGACACTTAGTCCTTTTTGTTGAGAAGTGCAGTTTTATGACAATAACTCAAGAACGGTATATCTGATTATGTTTAGAATAATTTCCGTTGAAAGTATTTATGAAGTATTATCTTTATATTTTTTTTTCATATGGTGTAAAAAATAATAAGACACATATTTTGTGCTACTTTACTTTTTGTACTACAAAAATAACCATTTAATCTAAATAGTTGCTAAGAAACCTTAAAATATTTTTAAAAGAACTTTGTTTATGCCATTTTGACTTAGAATCCAAAAAATGAATAACAAAATTAAAAACACATGAATTTTTAAGTTTTTAACCATAGTTAATGCAACTCAATAGTGACAGTTGTCTTCACCATATTTAACATGCTATTTAGAATTTTACGCTAGAATTTTAAAATATTTTAATTAATGTATGATATATACTGAAGCCTTTATGAAACCTAAATTCATTAACATCTTTTGAATGCCACAAGGCCAATTTCAATTCATCAGATTGCTCAATACATATTCAAAAGGTGCACAACACACGCAAGCACACATACACATTGCTAATAATATATAAATCTACAGTGGAAAATAAAATTTTTCATAAAGAATATTGTATATTTATGATACAAATACTTTTTGTCACTTCTTGGTCATAAAATATATTATTCACATTTTCACTTTTCTAATTGATTAAGGAACAAAAACTATCAGATTTTCATTAAATAAATTTAGAATGATGTGCTATGAGGACTACACCAAAATGATCGGGTAACAAAAACTTTGAACTGGGTTAGAATAAAACCTTTTTGTGTTCTTGAATACTGGCCATTTAGGATTGTGGATACATTTACACAATTAGTAATAAAATGTTTAACTTCAGTTTGAATTTGATAAGTTGTTAAGAAAATGAAGCTCACGCAAATTTCCATGCCATATATCACAGTTTTTGCCGAGTTATCTCCAGAT